CCCCAAAACCCCAAAACCCCAAAACCCCAAAACCCCAAAACCCCGACATTTTTAAGAATTATTGAAAAATATGGAAATGAGTGACCAGCCTTATGAGTGAGATGAGTGGGTAATAGCAGGGCTTATAGGATTGGAAAGATGAGGACGAATAAGAGTTGTTGTGGAGAGAAGAAGGGGAGTGGGAAGAAGTTGAGCTCGATGTTGACAAGAAGTCAAGACCAGTGAGGCTCTTTTGGATATTTTATAGGTTGAATACTATAGCTCATAAAGCAGTAACTCCGACAAGGCTTAGTAAGAATAGTCTCAAAATGAGGTATTGTTTTCTTTATGATACTAATTTTAGAAGAAAAAGTAGAAACCTGAGAATTGGAAGCAAGCTATATCGAAATAATTATGCTACTAAGAGAGCAAGAATCACTTTTGGTAAGCTTTAAAGCTATTTTATTCACAAATAAAAATTTCATTTTAAGAAACTGACCAGAGATAGAAACTGACGATATCGTCAAAACATTGAATAAATATCAAGCAGAGGTCTCAAACATAGAAAGAGAGTATTACCAAATTGATAACCCATGTGATGCTCCAGATGAGCTAGATAAAAATCAGGTAGTTCCTATTACCGACTCTGGAGATGCAGCTAAACCTCTTAACTCAGATCTCAAATCATCTGTTGTAGAAACTAGTGATGAATTTGAGAAGCTTTTATCAATAAACAAACGAAATATCAGCAGATGTCTCAAGATAAACGATATCATACAGAAAACAATCAGTGAGTTGGACAAAGTTCCTGATGTCGAGGATAACACTGAGCTCAAGAATAAAGAGCTTGAGTTGCAGATCATGCAGATCAAATGAGACAAGTATAAATAAAAAGATTGATTCATTGAAGAATAATTTGGTCAATTACTCAACTGACACTTCTTCTAATAATTTCGGTGAAGGTACGTTGAAATTTCTAGGATTTCTATTCATAAATTATGAATAAAACAGATCAGATCTGCTGCTTAATAGCCCTCAGTTGGTTATAGACAATACAATTGCTTAATAATTCAAAAATTTAGCGCGTGAAGGGAACGAAGCTAGTATAAAGACTCTAAACAGTGAAATCTCAGAGCTAATGGCTCAAAAAGTACATTTTCGTAATATTTTAGGAAATGCTTTCAAAATTGTCTAATAATTTATCAGTTAAAAAGAAAGAAATCGAGACTGAGATAGACAATCTCCCACAAATAGCCAAACTTAAGAAGAAAATAGAGGAGGTCAAGGCGCCAATTAAAGATCTCGAGCTTAACTTCAAAACTTTACAGAAGAAAAATCTAGGTATTTCTTAGTTTCAAGCTTCTTTTAGCCCAGGCAGGAGTGATGGATAACCTCAACGACCAAGTCAAGCTTTTGAAATATAAGAAGATTCAATGCTTGAACGGCATTGACCCAAATCTTGACAGGAAGAAATCCAACCAGATTGCTATCCTGCACGAACAAGAGAAGCTCAAGAGAATGAAGATTATTAACAAAAATGTTTCTCATAAGTTCAAAGCTAGACAAGGCAACTACAAAGGTCGCAGGAAGATACTGGAGTCCCAGATTGTTGAAATGAAAGACCTCCTCAGCAAAAGTAAGTCTCGCGAGGAGAAATCTCTGACTAAATTGGAGAAACTTATCCCTAAGTATTCTGAAGCTTCCATATTAATTCGCAAAATGAAGAAAAGCATTCGCCAGAATGCTAAAGTTAATTCAAAGGCTTCTATCATACATCGGTCGAGGCAGGACGCAGCTTCTGGGAAGAATACCTTTGATAAATCTGTCCATCCAAAAACTTCAGTAAATGCTTTCACGAGGTTGACCAAGGCTGAATCTGAGCAATTTTTAGCAATGGAATATAGAAGACAGAGCCGATTCCCAAGACCTGGAAATCTGTAACAATGAGGATATAGTTTATATAATGATTCAATATTTCTGTGCATAGTTGGGGTTTTGGGGTTTTGGGGTTTTGGGGTTTTGGGG